AAAAAATTAAAATATTTTATTTTTAAAATATAAATTAAAATATTTTTTTATTTTTTATTTTTATAATTTTTTGAGATAAAACGAATAAGTATTAATCTATATATTTATTACTTTGAAAAGTCGAGGTATCACGTTAGGTGTCGCATTTTGTGGCAATTTAACATTTAACATATTATAAAAGTGGGTTTTTAGACGAAAATTTTTCATAATAACAACAAATTAAGGTTTCTTTTACTTGAGTTTTGAATTTTAATTTTTAGTTTTATTTTTTATATTTAATTTGTTACTATAATTACATGAAATATGATATATTCTAATTTTTATAATAAACTCTATTCTTTTCTTAAACATAGTAGTATCAACAGTATTAAAATTAAAAAAGTTTGCGAACCAACACCAAAATTCAAAACTCATCATGTAAACGGAACCTGAACTTTTGTAAGCTATGATTTTCGTTTTTTAACAGCTGCTATGATACTATCTAATCCACATGTAATCCAAATCCACTATTGATAAGCCTTGCTTTGAGATGTGCAGTTGGGGGGATTGCTGCTTCCTTGGATTTACAACAAGAAGTTCTCTTTGGAATCTGATGACTTGGACTACTACACGCTTCTGTCAAAAGGAAAAAATGCCTGAACCATTGCATATAGATGCAATTTTGCATGATATTTGGCAGCTAGCCACATGCCAGTAGCTTTCATTCATTCTTTTTTCTTTTCTTTTTTTTTTTAACAAGTATAATTAGGAAATAATAATTAAGATTGTTAAAATTTAAATCTTAAATTTTTAAATATAATCACTTTTTTTTCGAAAGAATTGTAGCCCATTGAACCAATAATTGTTGAAAGTAACTTTCATTCTTGATCTAGAGTAGCCAATAGATAAAGCTGTAGACTGGGTAGCACACACAGGCTGTTCGATGAAAAAAATATCCCTATTGGGCACACTGCCCACCTGATATATACTTGTTTGTTATTTCCAAAAAATATATATATATTTGTATTGTATAATTTAAAATATTAAATAGAAGTATATTTTTATTATTAATAAATATTTTATTTATTTTATATATAAAAATGTTTTTTTATAAAAAAATTTTAATTTATAAAAAATTTATCTTAAATTATATAATAAAAAAATTTTTTATTTTTTAATTTACATTACCTACCCAACATACTACTCAAATTAAAAATTCTTATTTTAATTAAAAAAATTAATATCAAGCTATTTTGGTAGTTAACATCTACAAAAAGGTCAAAATTTAATAGAGGTTGAGGGAGCACAACCTCAAGGGTAATTTATTGTAGGGTCAACTTTTCAAACGTATAATCGAATCTGTGCACAGACTCGTGCCGTTTCTATATTTTACTCTACTTAAAATAAATTGTTCCGTAGAATTTTTCTGCCAAAAATGTCACGATGGTGATGCGTCTTGTCGGTGTCATTACCAATTTGATATTTAGAATCAATTTCCCACCAGTAACTGACGGCTGCGGCTCGTAATGATACATGAAGTTGACCCGGGACAGTAGTTCTTAACCATGCATATGCTTGGTTGCTGCACTTTGTCCCCCAGTTATTTCCCGGTATTTAAGAAGCAAAAGCAAAAGCCAAAAAAAAACCAATGGAATTCCCGGCAACTCCTCCGGTTTCAAAATTCGGTTGACGGAAAATCTTGCTCCTGGTTTTTGACGTCAATCTGGCAATTTGACAATTTTGGATAACACCCTCCACAATTTATCGGAAATCTTTTGCCTACCTATTACTATTTTGGTCACCACGCGCCCAGAAGTATGACGAAAAAGTTCCCTAAAATGGTAAAACAAGGGGGAAACAATTAGCACTACGTTATAAAACCACGATACACCTCACCCGGTCGCCTACGTGTTTGACAGCGGACCATTTTTTTTGACT